CCCCTCTTAAAAAATACACCTCTAAATAGTAATAATTATCAATGAGTATAAAAATATATTACAAATAAAAGTTTAAGATGAACGGAAATATTTTTAGTTGTTTGAGACAATGCTTTAGTTTATAAAGCTATTTTCATGTCTTTAAACTTGCGGTACATATGTGTAAGAAATAAAATATTTAATACTTAAGGAAATGTATTTAAACAATACAACATTCATTAATAATAAAGGTGTTCATAAATAATATTTTTAACTACAACCATATTAAATAACAGCTCCCTAAAATAATAAAATTGTTTGGTCGCAATGACTATATAATAATGTTACTATATTGGCTTGTACGTCGGTCACAGATGAGAAATAGTATACAAAATCAAATACTATTTGTCGGTGCACGTAGCACGTCGTATTCTTCATTAGAACAATTTTTTTTTTTTTTACACCGACACATTAGGGGAATCCCACTCATCTCCTCCTCAGTCATCATTCATCGATTGGGAATTACAACTTTCAGACTTGGACAGTTGGACCAATCTGTCGTTTTAAATTGTTAGGAGAACTACCATATGTATCATTTTCTTAAGGTTTTTTTTATCATAAATAGTCTTTAAAATTGATCTTCACCATCAAGATAGTATCTAAAATTAAAAATCAATTAATGTAGTCCCTGAAAATAGATGTCGCAGATCAATGTGGTCCATCCGTCACAATTCTATTAAAATTCCGTTAAGTGCAGATGTGTCACATAAATGGATCCAATAAGATTTATATGGTTTTATCGCAAATGGTCATTGAAATTGAGTCACACCATTAAGATGGTATCTGAAATTGACCCACACCATTAATATGGTTCCTAAAATTGAAAATCAATTAATGTAGTTCTTGAAAATATGTGTTTCAAATCAATATAAATATTCCGCCATAATTTTGTAAAAAAAAAAAAATGTTATGTGCTTATGTGGGTTTAATAATTAATTTTAAAAAAAATTCTAAATACCTTTTTGCACAGTGAAATTTTTTTCTTCTTATAGTAGGGCATACTCTGAAAAAAGTTTTCTTCCATAAATTTTCAAAAGCACAAGGCTTAACCAAGGCCTAAAAAGAGGTGTGGAAATAATTTTCAACCAACAATGGACACACCTGGGTTATAATCTCATTATCTTAAGGCAAACCTCGTTGTTCTTTGCATCCACCAGTGAAGCGCCAGACAAGCTCTCCAAAAATGAAAAAATGACCAAATTGAAAATTTTCGTCCCTTTGACTAAGAACTTGTTTAATTTGTTTCCTTGTTGCTTTTTGTTTTCTTAATTAGTTTTGTTTACCCTAAAAAAAAAAAAACAATCCGTGAAATGTTCCAGAAAATAGACATCCGCAGCTTTCCAACCATATAAGGTTCATTCTCTAATTCATTCTGAGATGTCCGAAACTTGTTTCCAAAGTTAGCTAACGTGCACAGGCAGTTTTGACGAATTTGTTACTTAAAATCCCACTTGTAGTATTTTTCTTTTCTTTGCTTGACAAATCCTACAAAACACAAAAACAAAGTACATAACTCAAAACTATAAGGAACAAACTAAGAAAAGACAAGTGAATTTGATATAAAATATATATAAATATAAGCTTATCATTAACCAAGGCCTAAAAGGAGGTGTGGAAATAATTTTCAACCAACAATGGAAGCACCTGGGTTATAACCTCATTATCTCAAGGCAAACCTCGTCGTTCTTTGCATCCACCAATGAAGCGCCGAACAAGCTCTCCAAAATTAAAGTTGCGAGGACCTTAATCCCAAAATGTTAACAGTAATATCCCATAAGTCGTTGCAATGGGTCAAGCTGTCACCAAAGGTGATCTCGATTCAGGTTCAATTCGGTAAAGGGTGTCGAAGTATGTAAAGATAGATATATTGAGATTTTTTTTAGATAACCGAAAATGAATGAGGTATAGAAATATGGATTGGGATTTGAGGTGATTGCATGACTGGGTTTTTGGGTTGACAATTTTTTATTAACTATTCAATTATTAAGCCTATTTGTAATTTTTAAAATTTAATTAGACTTGTGTGACTCATTTATGTGTCACATTAGCACATAACATAATTTTTTGACAGAATGACTACATTGATTTAATACACTTACTTGAGGGACTACATTGATCAATTTTTAATTTCAAAGACTATTTTGATGTCGCATGTCAATTTTAAGAACCATTTGTGAGAAAAAATTATTTATGAGACCCATTTATGTGCCACATTAGTACTTAACAAATTTTTTAACATAATCGTGACATAATAACCATATTGATTTGCGACACATATTTTCAGGGACTACATTGATTGATTTTCAATTTCAGAGACCATCTTGATAGTAAGAGTCAATTTCGGGAATCATTTGTTATAAAAACATTTTTCTTAATATATATGCCATTATTTAAATTAAAAGGTGAGACTGGCTTCATAATAGACAAACCACAATAATTTGATTTGTAATTGTTTTTGCTGATAATCGAACTATGATCTCTTATAATGGGCTAGCCACAACCTAAAACCTATAAGTTACAAATGAAAAAAAAATTACTAAATCGTAGTACTAAGTGTGACAATACATCAGTTTTTATATTCGAACTATAAAGTGACAACTCTCAAAGCTTGTTAACCTTTGTTAAAATTGGTTTAATCATTAATCATAGGGGTGTGCTATCCACACACCCCATTTTACTTCTCACACACTTCTTGATAATTTATATCCGTTGATCTTCTTCAATTCATCCGATCCAATGCTCGAAAATTAAAAAAGTGTGTGAGAAGTAAAATGGCGTGTGTGGATATCACATCCCTAATCATATAGCTCAAATTTTTTATATTACGAAAACAGTAAATTGCACTAATAAAACAAATCATGACAACAATGCAAAGCAAACATAATTTGCAAATTTGAGTTTAACCAAGTTGTATAGAATAATGTGTTTTGTTTTATGTATTGTAGTTTAAATAAGGTTTAGATAAATTTAATATCTTTATTGTAAAATTCCACATTGCTCAGATGAGTGATCCTTATATGTATATTCTCATCTCTACCTAGCACGAGACATTTTGAGAGCTCACTGACTTCGGGTTCCATCGGAACTCCGAAGTTAAGCAAGTAGCGCGCGAGAGCAATCCTATGATGAGTGATCTAGTGGGAAGTTCTCGTGTGAGTTCCCAGAAACAAAACCATGTGGGCGTGATCATGGCCCAAAGCGGACAATATCGTGCTACGGTGGTGGAGCAGGCCAGGGATGTGGTGGACCCCGAGCGGGGATGTGACAATTTGGTATCAGAGTTTAAAGTAATCCCATGATGAGTGACCCACTGGGAAGTTCTCATGTAAATTCCCAGAAACAAAATCATGTGGGCGTGATTGGGGCCCAAAGCGGACAATATCGTGCTATGGTGGTGGAGCGGGCCCGGGATGTGGTGGACCTCAGGCGGGAATGTGACAAATTTGGTATAAGAGCCTAACCCTGATCGTGGTGTGCCGACGAGGATGTCGGACCCTTAAGGGGGGTGGATTGTAAGATCCCACATCGCACAGGGGAGTGATCCTTATATGTATATTCCCATCTCTACCTAGCACGATGTCTTTTGGGGGCTCACTGACTTTGGGTTCCATCGGAACTTCGAAGTTAAGCGAGTAGTGTGCGAGAGCAATCCCATGATGGGTGATCCACTAGGAAGTTCTTGTATGAGTTTACAAAAACAAAACCGTGAAGACATATGGTCGGAGCCCAAAGCAGACAATATCGTGCTACGGTGGTGGAGCGGCCCCGGGATGTGACATTTATACTCAAAATTCTGATTACGAGTCATTTTTTTTCGTGATTACGTAAGAGGAAATCAAATATTTTGGACTATCTTAAAATTATTAGTTAACAAACGCTGTCTCTCTCTAGAAATCTCTCCCTTGATCTTGGATTTTGGACTAACTCTGATGGCTTAGACTTTCATATTCATATATTCAGATCGCATTAAAAAAACAGTGTACGTTGATTATATGACAACCACTTTGGGTTTAGTTTAACGGTTTTCTACCCAATAAGCCACCAAGGTTCCATTTGCATCCTTTTCCTTGCATTGACCGCGATATTGATAATCCACCAAACCAATTGATATCTGTCATTAGTCCGTAATTTAAGCACTAAGTTGAGTAAACCCCAAGCCGCAATAAAATTTCAAATTTCAATTTAATAAATCATTTCAATTTGAAGTAAATTTGACAATTAAATTAAAAAAACTGTTATTGGCACTTCAAAAAAATCTTATTTGGCACTCATTGCAACTGTATTTTTCTTTCTATTATGAAAAATTTAGAGTGAAAAATGAAAAATTTTGAAATGTCAATAACAATTTCCTTAAATAATTGTCCATTTAAATTTATACATAGACATTTCATGATATTCTAAATTCCAAGGGGCAAAAGCCAAGAAAACCCAAACCGTCTACATCAAAAACCAAAAAGAAAAAAAATTATCTGACGTTGGCTTTGCCTTGGCTTTGAGATTGACGACAATTATCGAGTCTCGTAGCATGATCTTATAACTAAACAGGGCATTAAAATTTTGACAATCATTCATGATCTATTTTCTCTCTTTATTTTTATTTATTTATTAGTGTAAAATAGTCGCCACAAAACGATGTCATCGCCGTAATGATCGTCATATTTTTGCCGACGCACACTGTAAACAAATTTTGTTGAATCTAATTACTTTGTTTTGGCCCACCTTCTTTGTTTTGTTGCAGAGTACTAGAATTCTCTCCATTTTTCCAATAGAAAAACTAAAATAATCGGGCCAAAAATTGATAGAATTTAGAAAGATCTCTCTCTCTCTCTCTCCCTCGGGGTTGGAGTTCTTCCGCGTTCTCCACCCTCTCTCGCCTACAACTACCCCCTCCTCTTTACTCGTCACGCACTACTGCCAAAACCTTCAGCTTTTCTTTCCTCTTGGTTTCTTGTCTTTTCTTTTCCTTTCTTTTTCTTTCTTCTCTAATTGGAGGTGTTTGGAGATTGGAGAATGCTGGATAATCCTCAACAGCAACACAGAGATATCAGATCTGCCCAGGCAACCAAGCAAAGAAACAAACAAGGTACCTACTTACCTCCAATCCAAGATATTTGAAAATCGTCAGCTTAGATTTCAGCATTTCGGATCCGGGTTCGGATCTACTCTGTCATTGCTGGTTTGTTTGTCGTTCTCAACCGATATTAGGTTATTTTGGGTTATTGGGTCTTTTCCGTTTTTAGTAATCTGTTTCCCTTCCTTGTTTTCCATTTTTAGTTCGTTCCCTGTTAATTGTTACAGATCCTTTGCCGGATCTGTTGTTTCAGTTTTCAGGCGTGGATTATTTGAGAACAATCGGGTCTGTGATCTGCTCCGGGGTCGAACATGGCGACAGGGGGAAAATATACTAGAGTAGATAATAGGAGGCCGTCCTCCGGGAGTGGTTGCTGCTCCACCGTCACCGTTGTGGTGTTTGTGGCGTTGTGCTTGGTCGGGGTTTGGATGATGACCTCCTCCTCTGTAGTTCCCATTCAGAATGTGGATGTGCCCACGGAGGAGAATAAGAGTGAACTCAAGGAGCAGAGCAGCAATAACGTCGGCGTCAAGGAACAAGCGAGTGACACCAATGCCAGGCAATTTGAAGATAACCCGGGTGACTTACCCGACTGACGCAACCAAAGGAGACAGCAGCGATGGTGCTGCTCAGGGTGGAGACCAGCTACAAGGGAAGTCCGAAGAGAAGAGTGAGGAGAAGTTTGTGGAAAAGACTCAAGAGACACCTGAGGAGAAAACCCAAGACAAGATCGAGGAGAAAAGTGAGGAAAAGATTGAGGAGAAATCTGAAGATGGCGACTCTAAGGTGGAGAATGGAGAATTGAATTCCGAAAATGGAGAAAAAAAGAGCGATGGCGGTGAAAAGGACAAGTCTGATTCCGGTGATAACGAGAAACAATCGGATCATGACAGTGATAAAAAATTAGACAAGTCTGAAGAAACAAACGATACAGTTAAGGCGAATGGTGAGACAGAGGAGAAAGTGGAGGTAACTGATACCAAGGAGTCAAATGGGGAGAAAAAGGAAAATGAGCAGGCCAAAAACCAGAGTTCAAATGAGGTATTTCCTTCCGTTGCTCAGTCGGAGCTATTGAACGAGACTACAACTCAAAATAGTTCGTGGTCAACTCAGTCGGCAGAGTCAAAGAATGAGAAGGAAGCTCAGCGTGCTTCTGATCAGAAGACCAGTTACAACTGGAAAGTCTGCAATTCCACTGCCGGGCCGGATTTCATCCCCTGCCTTGACAATTTGCAAGCCATCAAGAGTCTTCGAAGTACCAAGCATTACGAGCACCGGGAGAGGCATTGTCCCGAGGAGGCCCCAACCTGCCTTGTTCCTCTTCCAGAAGGTTATAGACGCCCAATTGAGTGGCCAACAAGCAGGGAAAAGGTATATAACTTAAATCGATGTATAAATTCATTTCCACATTGTCTCTGTCCTTTCTGAGATAGATTGATAAGGTGCATTCTTGCAGGTATGGTACTACAATGTACCCCATACAAAGCTTGTTCAAATTAAGGGGCATCAGAATTGGGTCAAAGTTACCGGTGAATACCTTACTTTTCCCGGTGGTGGAACACAATTCAAGCATGGTGCTCTTCATTATATTGATTTCATACAACAGGTGAATACTTTTAAGCATTTGGTTTTTTCAAATACATTCCACTTCCACTTGTATTACTTTGCATGTTGGTTTGTTCTCTCCGTAAATATGTACATTTTTCTTCAGATGTCTCAGTGTGTGCATTCAATCCTTGTCTTCTCCCTCTCCCTAATATTTTTAATCAGCTCATGCTTTGGAGAATATGTCAGTCTTTCTGCATCTATATCTTATTAATACCTATGCATTTATGATGAAGTATATGGATTTCTGTGTTTCTTGTTACAGTATATATGATGCTACAGTTAGATATGCAGAGTTCTAAAGAATATCTTTTTGAGACCTAGGCAGGAATTTCATCTGCGGGGTGACATCTTGGCAACATATGAATTTCACGAGTTTTGGATGTGATTTACCAGTAGGAAAAAAAACTAGAAAAGACACATCTTTCGTGTTACTGCTCATCAAAATTACGCTAACTTGGGTTCTCTTCTCTTGCAGTCTGTTCCTGATATTGCCTGGGGAAAACGTTCACGTGTCATATTAGATGTTGGATGTGGAGTTGCAAGCTTTGGAGGCTTTCTTTTTGACAGAGATGTCCTTGCAATGTCATTGGCCCCAAAAGATGAGCATGAAGCTCAAGTACAGTTTGCACTTGAAAGAGGAATTCCTGCCATATCTGCTGTGATGGGCACAAAGAGACTTCCCTTCCCCGGCCAAGTTTTTGATGTTGTCCACTGTGCCCGCTGCAGGGTTCCTTGGCATATAGAAGGTAGTCCTTGTGAATTGATTTACAGTGTGATATGAGATCAAGCTGAGATTGTTGTTTAAAAATGCAGTTTCCTTATGTGTGAAATCAGGGGGTTGTTTGGCTGAGTTTTCGATAACTGTCACACCTAGTTTAGGGTTTAGGTTGATAACTGGAAAACAATAATTTTCAGTTTTCTATATTATAATATCTAAGTTGATAACTGGAAAGGGATTTTCAGTTTATGGTGCATTTTTTTTTCAAGCTTGTTTTCTTCTTTGAGCAGTTTTCAAATTGTGCTGCATATTTTGCACTCTTTCACGATTTTATTGATAGAATGCTGTTTCTGAATTGACACACCAAAGAAGTCCCTAGATCTTGAGCCAGTCTTTTCTGACAGAGTAAACATAGGAAACTTATTTGGTTATTTCTTTTCGTTTGGATATTCACCAATAAACATGATATGCAGGTGGTAAGCTTCTATTGGAGCTGAACCGAGTGTTGAGACCTGGTGGTTTCTTTGTATGGTCTGCTACTCCAGTGTATAAGAAGCTGGGTGAAGATGTTGAAATATGGAATGGTACATAATTTGAAACCATTTTGGAACTTTTGAATTGGAGTTGTTTGATTAATGCTAACAAGTCTAAAAATTTATGGGAATCACCTGCAGCCATGAAGGAACTAACCAAATCAATATGCTGGGAACTGGTGTCAATTAGTAAGGATACAGTAAATGGAGTTGGTATTGCTATATACAAAAAGCCTACTTCGAATGAGTGCTATGAGAAAAGATCACAGAACGAGCCTCCTATCTGTGCTAAGTCTGATGATCCAAATGCTGCCTGGTACACATTATATTCAGCTGAACCTTTTCATTCTCTTTTAGTTTAATGAATCTAGTGAAACAATTTTTCTCTCCAGACCTTTGATTTAGTTGCCTAAAGTATTTCTGGTTGAATTACCAAGTTTGTTTCTGGCTTAATGAGATTGCTGAACTTGGAGGAGAATGGACATTGTCTCTGTAGACTGTAGTTCTAAAACCATGTGAAAATAACATATTATGATGCATTTGGAAAAGCAAAACTAAACCCTCTTAGAAATGGCAATTGTGTTACTCTTGCCAAAATTTGTTTGATGCGAACCCAAAGATAAGTATAATCTAAGGTCAATAGCTACCCTAATCTTAATTTTTGTTGTGTACAGGAATGTGCCATTACAAGCATGCATCCACAAAGTGCCTGTAAATGCAACAAAACGTGGGTCTGAATGGCCTGAGCAATGGCCGGCGAGGTTGGACAAGGCACCTTACTGGTTGTTAAGGTCCCAAGTTGGTGTTTATGGAAAACCTGCTCCCGAGGATTTCACTTCAGACAATGAGCACTGGAAACGTGTGGTGACAAAGTCATATCTGAATGGAATGGGGATTAACTGGAAATCTGTTCGGAATGTTATGGACATGAGAGCTGTGTACGGAGGGTAAGAAAAATCGTTCCTTGATTGTCATGAATAGTGTGTTTTGATGTGTTTGTTTGATGCATGGAAAACCACCATCTTCGTTATAATTTGTGCTTTACTGTTTATCTTTATTATTGTTCTTGACCTTGCCAAAGAATGTGTACAAGTGAAATGTTGAGTTAGAGGCGGCTGCTTCTTAACTTCTTTTACCTGTGACTTCTGGTTGTGCTTGCAGATTTGCTGCCGCTTTGAAAGATTTGAAAATTTGGGTCATGAATGTGGTCTCAGTAGACTCTCCAGACACACTACCCATAATTTACGAGCGAGGTCTGTTTGGTATGTATCATGATTGGTGTGAGTCATTTAACACCTATCCAAGGTCTTATGATCTTCTCCATGCCGACCATCTGTTTTCCAAGCTTAAGAAGAGGTATGCATACTATTCCATTTCTCAGATTCTCCTTCCGCAGCAAAGCATTTGTTATTTCATTCACCAATTCATTTCGCTGTCTAACTTTGGAATGGCTTATGAACGACAGGTGCAATTTAGTGGCTGTAGTTGCGGAGGTTGATCGAATCCTTCGACCAGAGGGAAAGCTTATCGTGCGAGACGATGTTGAGACTATTTACGAGCTGGAGAACATGGCGAGGTCGATGCAGTGGGAGGTTAGCCTGACGTATTCAAAGGACAAGGAGGGATTGCTTTGTGTGCAGAAGTCCATGTGGCGGCCTGAAGAGTCGGAGTCACTCAAGTATGCAATTGCTTAAGCTTGGTGGTCGGAAGTGTGGTCGGAAGTGGCTGCTGGCGTTGCTGAGGATATAATAGTTACACATTCATTTTTTGTTTTGGTTGCTAATTGAAATTCATGGTTACTGTACTTTATGATGTATTGGCCTTTTGTTTCGTTTTAGTTAGGGCTTGTAGTCTGTTATTTTTTTTTTTTTTTTGTTTACAATATTTTGTTTTCGTTGTCGGGAGATCGGTGTTTGGAATTCCACTGTAATATTACCGTACTGGTTATTGACGGAAGAAAAACCAAACTATTGGTTGATATAATATCTGAGCATTTCGATTCTATGTATTGTGAAATGCTTTTGCTCTACTTAGAGGAGGGATTTTTCAGTGCCGGGAACACGGTCAGTAGATTGAGTATATTAATACAACTGGTTAAAAATTTAAATTTTTTTATAACCCATTGTGTTGCGACACTTGATGTACCGAGCGGCGTTTTCGACTTGTTGAAAAATTTCTATACCCAGGTGTACTCTCTGTGTCATTGTTATTTGGTGACTCGGGTGTAGAATTAGTAATTTATCCTCGGCATGTTTTCCCATAATTTGACTAGCTCAATCTATTTTATGAAAATAAAAAATGAAAATTTTAAGTTCGATTTTACTTTTCATTTTATTTATAAAAATAAATAAATGCAAGAGCATGACTTGCAAGGAGCTAGCATTTTAAGCTTGATGTCCAGCGTGATCGATGCCCGGGTGTCGGAAATTGAATTAGAGTCTTATTTGCAAGACAAAACTAGATGGTGGTCGAGTGTGAGGGTCATTTTATAGTGTTGAATAAAATCGGGAGTGAAACCTTCTAGCAATGGGAAATGCCTCGTAACATAAATATTTTTATGGTCACTGTTGCTAATGCCTCGTAGCATAAATGTTTTTATGGTCACCTGTTAACTAGTCACTCACCTGATGATCGAAAATTGTTTATAAGTTTTAATTTCGATCTCCGATATCAATTTCAATCAAATTCAAGGACGAATGATTACAAATCTTTAATCACCGAGTGACCAAGAGAACGAGGTTATGCCACGCAATTAGGGAGTGAAATTTATCGAGGGGAAAGGGTTGCTTAGATTAGGTGAAGACAGTTAATTAGCAGGTGTTGACTCCGGGGAGATAGAGCGAGTCCCTGGGATTTTTAATTGCTGAAAATCAACCAAAGCTAACACTCCCTCTTCACCTGCCTATTTTTCTGCTCTCTTTTTTCCTTTGTTTTGTTTCTCCTTTTTTCTTTCTATTTTTCTGCGCTCTTTTTTTCCTTTGTTTTGTTTTAGCCCATTCAAAAACCAAAATCCTCCAAAAGCTCTCTCTCTCTCTCTCACCGATCAATCAATAATATGCAAAGAGAAACGGATGATGAGCGGCTATATGTGCCAAGTGGAGGAGGAGGAAGCCCAGAAACCCCATGCAGTTTAAAGAGCAGTACTACTGCTACTGCATGTGCAAGTGCTAGTAACAACAACAACAACAATCACCATCACAACAACCACCACAACAAAGAACAAGATAGGTTCCTTCCCATCGCCAACGTCGGTCGCATTATGAAGAAAGTGATTCCGGGCAACGGAAAAATCTCGAAAGATGCAAAGGAAACTGTCCAAGAATGCGTCTCCGAGTTCATCAGCTTCGTTACAGGAGAAGCATCCGACAAATGCCAAAGAGAAAAGCGCAAGACCATCAACGGCGAGGACATTATTTGGGCTATCACAACGCTCGGGTTCGAGGATTATGTACATCCATTAAAATCGTACCTCCATAGATATAGAGATCTCGAAGGAGAAAAGCTAAACGTTCCAAAGCAACAAAGATCGGAGCAAAGGCTGCACCAGCAACAACAACAACCAGATCAACAGGATCATCACAACCAAACTTTACTACCTTACGATAATAATAGTAGTAGCAGTGTATATTCTTCGACGACGAATGTCTTGTCTCAGCCGTCATTCATGGCTGATCATCATCAGGCATTTTCTTTGCCTTTCTCCCCAAGTTCAATTCAAAAACAGTTTCAGCCACAACAGGATCAGATTGATTCAGTGGGGCATTGGTAAGAAGATAATCAATCGGGCCTTTTCTCTTCGTTGTTGCTTGAGTTTCCCCGGCCTGCCTACCCTCCTTATACATACACATATACATACATACATACATACATATATATATATATATATATATATCTACATCGTGCTAATCAATACAAATGTAATTTAATTAATGTTGTTGACAATATATATAAACACTTACGTATGAGCTCGACTCAACCTTGATTGTTTGGATCATAATGAAGTAAAAGCGTGTATTTAATTGGTAAGAGTTTATATCTTAGGGTTTTCTTGTAGATAGGATTTGGTTTCTGTCCTATGAGGATTAATTAGGGTTTGTTTGCACCATATTATATCAACCACAAAACCATCAAGTACCTGTCAATTATGAAGCACCATGAATGCACCGAAATGTCTCCTACTAAGGCATTTTTGCCGAAGCACATGAACCAACCCCGCAACAAGTGGGAGCCAGCCATAACACCAACAGTCATGTACCCTTTAACTGTCCCCATAACTAATCATAACGCGACAAGTGACAACACCATATTAGCTACATTCAAACCCATATTGGCAAAGTCAAAAAGTTCCTCCAACTTGCCTTTTTAAAACGGTAATCTCTACTTCCTTCTAAAGGTAATTGTTGTTACTATTCAACACTATATTTACCATTAAACTCGGCCACATGGTGTTTTAAACACATAATGCTAACTCAAGCATCGAAGGCTCTTAGGTTGGTACCACACTGATGCCCTTCGATACTTATTCTACCTTCCATGCAAGTTGCTTCTCCCTCCTACCCTTGACAAGTCGATTTTGTGCATCAACATAATTAGTTCTTTATAAGCATAACGTTTTGAAAAGTAAGTTTAATAACATGTATTCTTTTAGAAGTATGGTGTTTTTGACCAATACTGTAGTGTTCTTTATTTTTGTTTGATTGTTGGATTGTGTTTGTTTGAATTGCAAGTAAATGATTGAACTGATAATTACGATGTCTTCAATTTTGTTTTATCTTGGACCCATTTCTTTACATGTTTGTATTGCAATTAATCGATCTATTTGGTGCTAGTGATGTATGCAGTCCAAGTGTTTAAGTTTTGGTTCCTCGAAATTAATTTGCTTTTTCATTTTTTACTTGACTGATATCATTTATTTCATAGTGGCACTAAAATTCAATCTATGTGACCTAAACCATACGATGATTTACTATCATTTCATATTTCTAAATCGACTCAGCATTTGGTGTTGTCGACACAATATACTTGTTAGAAACAACTGTGCCCGGTTTAGTTCTTTGACCAAAGTTGATAGTTTTTATTACAGTTTATTCGTTGTGATTCAGTTTGGTTTTTCGGTTCACGAATTTTTATGCTCACTCCAAAATACAACTAGATAAAAGTCACACATTATGTTTGTGTTTAAATACATGCTAATTTAGAAAAGAAAACAAAATTAAAATTAAAAAAAAGAGAAAAACACGAAACGGGAGAGAAAAAATAGAAGAGTAAAACTATGGTTATATGTGAGTGACAAAGAAAAAGAGGCAAAAATTTGTGGCTGATGTCCTACAAATGGATCAAGATCTACGATTAAAGCCCATCCCAAAAATACAAAAGCAATAACCCGGCCATGTGCTTTGATCTTTAGAGTTAGAGGTCCTTTCTGTGTCCAGCGGTTAGGTTAGGCGGGTCGGGTCAGAATCAGAAATGAAAAGGCCCAAAATGAAGACAAAGGCGCCCTGCAAAATCTGTCCGAACAATTGGAGTTGGCGCAAGCGGGAAAATCTAGGAAGTAGAGTTCAATTCGAAGGCGAAATCAAATGGAGGAGGGGCGAGTAGAGTTTTGAGTCGTCGAGTGGAGTGGTGAAAATGTCAGGGAGTGGGGGTAGTATTAGGGTGCTGAACGTGGCGGAGAAGCCGTCGGTGGCCAAGTCGGTGGCGACATTACTGTCAGGGAACCAAGGACAAGGGCTGAGAGTGAGGGAAGGCCGATCCCGCTACAACAAAATCTACGAGTTCAACTACTCCATCAATGGCCGCCCCTGCCACATGCTCGTCACCTCCGTCACCGGCCACCTCATGGAGCTCGAATTTGAGGACCGCTTTCGAAAATGGCACGCCTGCGACCCCGCCCTTCTCTTTACCGCTCCCGTCCATAAAAAAGTCCCTGAGGTCAGCTCCTCTCTCTCTCTCTCTCTCTCTCTCTCTCCGTCAAGGATTCTGATATGTTAGGGCTATTTGATTTCTTTACCGTATTCTTACTGGTATGTTAGAGCAGGAGCAAGATTAGTATGTTAATCTGCAATTGAATATGCAGCAGTGTTGGCCTTTTATTTTTGTTTTTGTTTGTGTGGATTATGAATATAAATCATGTAAATAATGTAAATAATATACTGCAATTGAATATTACCGTATTCTTACTGGTATGTTGGCCTTTTATTTTTGTTTGTGTGGATTATGAATATAAATAATGTAGGACAAGTTGGATATCAAGAGGACGTTAGAGGAGGAAGCAAGGAGGTGCCAGTGGCTTGTCTTGTGGCTCGATTGTGATAGAGAAGGAGAAAACATTGCGTTTGAAGTGATAGAAGTATGCACGGCCGTGAATCGTCATCTTACCATAAGGAGGGCTCGTTTCTCAGCTTTGACTGAAAGGTTCTAGACCTAATTAAATTCCAAATTTTCATTCCTCTTGGTTTCAAGTAGTCGAACCACACTGTTTAATTTTATTGTCGTTTCAGGGATATCTATAATGCGGTTCAGAATCTTGTCAACGCAAACAAATTCTTTGCTGATGCAGTGGATGCTAGGCAAGTGAGTACCTTTCATTAGCCGACTCTCTTTTTGTTGGTGGTAACTTCCAAGTTAGTTTGTTAGGTTATATAAAACCCTATAGACTTTTGGGAACTACAAATTATGCTCTAGGACACCTACGTTTCTCACCACCCACTGTCAAGGGATCACTGTTAGTCATATCTTCATACTAACATTATTGGTCTATCATTCTTTGGTAACACTGTTTTCCTGTGTCAGATAAAGTTTAATCTTCTTTTCTTTTTTCTGCAGGAAATAGATCTTCGGATTGGTGCTTCGTTTACTAGGTTTCAGACTATGCTGCTGAGAGATGCATTTGTTATTGATTCCACTGCAAGTGACAGAAATCTTGTTCTAAGTTATGGTCCTTGCCAGGTATGTAATTGATTACAAGTTTACATCCATAACATATACTGATTTAAACGTCAGAATATTCAATCTGCCTCCCCTTTCAGTACAGTGCCCTACAATTATCTATGCTTTATAATTTCCCTTTGTTTGTAGTTCCCTACACTTGGATTTGTTGTGGAGAGATATTGGGAAATACAGTCGCACGAGCCAGAGGAGTTTTGGACCATAAACTGTTCACACAAATCAGATGAAGGCACTGCTACATTCCATTGGATGTAAATTGTGAAGACTTTGTGTTTCCTTTTCAGCTTCAGCAACCATTTGAAGTTTAATGATTTTAATACTTTTGCAGGCGTGGGCATTTATTCGACTATGCTTGTGCTGTTGTTATTTATGAAATGTGTGTTGAGGAACCTACTGCTACTGTAAGTCATGTTGAGTTTGTGTAACGTTGCTAATTTTTGTATAACCATTTGCACTCTCCGCTTTAAAATTTCCAAAACACAGGTGACAAAGGTTAGACAACAGGAGAAGCTGAAAAAGCCTCCAAATCCTCTGAATACAATTCAGCTTGAACAGCGTGCCTCAATATACTTTCGGATGAGTTCTGAACACACAATGAAGGTGAGCACGTGGGCCACAATGTTGTCTTGATGTATATCTGTTTCTGGGTTACAGGTAAATTGATAAAAAAATCAATGCCAAATGCTTCATAGTTCTCCTAAAGATTTGACTGTCCTTGTAATTGTATTGAAGCTACTAGGGAAAAAAACTAATAGACTTATCCATAGCATTGAACTTAAGTTACAGGCACTGCCATTCCTGGTTTTCTACTAAGGTTTGATTTGTGATTCAGATGTATAGTTTATGATTAGAATTTTCAATGGTTGTCTCATAATTTATAATTTTCTATGAATCTTCTAGTTGTGACTGAAGCTATTTAGGTCTTAGAGTTTGATGAAATGGGCTGGTTCCATTGTATGTCAGTAAATGTTTCAGATGGGTTATATGCCATTATAATATGTTCACTTTTCTTCTTCTCCAGAGGGGAGGATAAAAATAAATATAAAAGGAAAATGGGTATATATTTCTTGTGCAGTAAAGGGGCAACATCCATTTTCTTAAATTCTATTTCATATTCATTTAATATACATTTGACATGTTTTTGTGGCTGTGGATTTCATCACATTTTACCCCTGCACTCATTCACCCTTACTGATTGTAGGTGGCAGAAGAGCTGTACCAAGCTGGTTTCATCAGTTATCCTCGTACGGAGACTGATGGCTTCTCTGAAAGGACGGATTTGCATGTTAGTAACCTTTTCTTTTATTGAGAATCACAAACTATGTTACTGGTTCTGGCAGTAGTAACTGTTGAAAAGCATTGAGATTTTGTACAATTTAGGATTTTGATATAGGCAGGGTAAAAGAATTAGAAAATAACTAATTCAGGAATTGAGGTCAAGCAGATACAATGTGACTCTGCGAGAGCAATGAAGAATTTGGAACAAAGATGGTTAGAGAATAGAGAATGACAGAATTCACAATGAAACTAGTTCTCATGTAGGTGGATGCAATAATAAAATGTATGCGTATATTCGTGCATACGGCGTACGCACATAGAATCTGTTTATGGCATGAGATCTAATGTTCTCATAACGTGAGTAAGGAGATTGTGGACGCGCAAGAATGGCGCAGGGTATGGTTTCGTAGCTTAGGGTTTTATTATATTTATGGTTGACTTTATTTAAGTATTTTGATTCCATTTAAGATCAAAGTTTTTCGTCTCGATAGCATGACCAAGAAAGTCCACGCTATATGATCAAGTTACTCTTTTTTTCTCCCACTTGCCACTTTGTGAAAAAATTTAGTGTTGTTGTCCCTTCCTAAGCCTATCAAATTTTTCTGTCTCGAGTGCCTTCCTTCTTGAAAAGCAGATCTTCGAGACTAAATCTCAGTCGATCCCTCTCGATTATAGATGCATGGGCAACTCCCCCCTTTCCTCCTTTCAATCTAGTTTTTATGAACTCTGACTGGATGGGAGGTTGAACAATAAATTACCAAAATGAGTAGTACTTCTGGAAGTGTCATTTTAA